CTTGTTTGTTTGGGAGGGAATAAGGAACTTTACTTTTCAGTATTCCTTTGAGTTTAGAAGCAAAACATTAAGAATCAATAATAATATTATTTTGCCAAATTGAGAATTATGACCTTCACTACTGCTGAAATATTGCTGAGCTAAAGCTCATATTATAGCGTTACAGTATTGTTGCACAATCCATGTTACGTCACTCCCTCTATTATTTCTGCCTCTCCTGTCACCTGAAGCAGAATTACCCTTTACAGTAAGGCTGATTCATACAGAAACGGCCATTTGATGCCACCTTTTATTGTAATGTATTGTTGCACTTGCAGTCAAATGGTAATTTGATGAGGGGTGAAACACTGCGCTGTCCTAGTGAGTTAAAAATATTGCGTCAAATGGTTGAACAGTTTATCATAAACAAGAACAAAGTATGATAACTCAGTTACCAACAGATACAAAAGTTCCACCACGGAAGCTAAAATACCATCACTGCTGTGAAATGTATCTAGCTGAGCTGAAATCTTAACAACCACAGCTGTAAATAATTCAAGAGGAGAAACTGACATTCAATCTGAGCTCCCCCTGTAACATTTCTCTGCTGGCCTCACTCTTCTTCTGTTGCCATTGTGGGCTTATTGTTTGAATAAAGTTCCTCTGTTCACCCCGTGCCTTTCTCCTTGCGGCTGTAGTTCATCCTGACCTACATCTTCATTGAGATGTACAACACTCCACTCCACTACGGGGCCTATGTGTATCCACGGTGGGGCAAAGCGCTGGGCGTGTGTATAGGCGCAACCTGCTGTCTACAGATCCTCATCTGGGCCATTGTGGCCATCAGCAAGGAAACCGGAACACTGAAAGACGTTAGTGTCACCATTATGTCATTCTATCACTGTGAGGTCCTGTTACACCTCTGCCACAGTCTCACTAACTGTACAGCTCAAACAGATTGTCACTGATGTACCTGTTCCAATATATGACACTGCTAGATGACTGTTTGTTTCTGTTTGGTTTTTTTGCAGCGTTTCCAGAAATCGATTCGACCTCTGAATTCCTGGAGGGTGAACAACTTGAACAGCGCCGCGAGGGTGGAGGAGCGAATGGAGCCCGAGAGAGTGGATGCTCCATTCACTGTCACGCTCACAGACATGGACTTTACTGCGATGACCTGGGAGGCGGGAAGCGAGGCGTGATGGCACAGAGAGAGAGCGGTGACGAACAAACTATGTGTCGAGAGACGGAGGAATTTATTATTATGTTATTCGCCCCAGCTAGGCTCTGGTGGCCATGTTTGAACAGACTGTGTGTCCTGCAGGGCAGTGTGTATTAATTGCTTTATTTATACTATTATGTATGTTTCCCATTGTTTTTTTAAAACTTTTTTTTATGTTGTGTAGCATATAAGGTTACAGCTGTAAAGATTGGATCATCTACATCTTAGATGGCATAGTAAACCTCTACCGGGACTTTTGGATGATGATTATCTTGCAGCGTATCTGCTGATCTTATTTATTATCACAGTAGCATAGTATAATTCATTCTCACTGACAGTGGTTCACAGCGGCAGAGGGACCAGATTTCGTTTATCGTGTACAAAGAGGAGGGACTAAAAAAAGTGCTGTGACTCTCGACCGTTACCTTCAACAACCACTGGTGGACTCAGAGAGGTGACCACAAGTCATCAGCCTGCCAGACTAAATGGTGCTGAGGACGCAGCCGCACCGAGGAATACTTTTAATCCATTTTACCTTTTTAAAATGAATAATCGCTAAAAGATATTGCTAAAATAAATGAGTTAAAAAAGCAACTTGCCAAATAAACTATAAAGTACTGTTCATGTGTCCGTATGATAGTAGACAGTCAAAGGTCTTGTCTGCATTTCAAATTGCTTTCCTGCAGGAAATGTAGCCATCACTCCTTGTGAACACTGTTGTTCAGACTACATCGATATTTACAACTAGAGACTATACTCTTATTTATTGTACGCAGGCTTTTAAGTGGTACTTCTAAATGTTTGGAGTTATCCTTTGTTATATTTAGAAAGAGGGTGTTAGGAGTCAGTGGCTATCTAAACACATGTAGGTTTTTTTATTTTTACTGGAACTTGGCTTTGACAGTCCTTCATTGTTGATCTCCCCCTCTGCTATTGATTATCAGAAAGCCCACTGTATTGATTGTACTGTATGTCATCGGTTAAATGTATTCTCTGGAACGGCACTCATCCATTGACTGTATTGTTACACTGAGGACGTGATTATTGCCATGGTTTCAATCTTGGTAACATTTTTACAACTTTCTGAGGGCATGAATGTTACTCTGATTTAAGCAACTCAAAATCAGTTGTTTAAATGTTATTTATTGACAGATTGGCCATACTGCATAGTTTTTACTAGACCCATTGATGTTAATGATGATGGGAAATAAAGGAAAGAATCTCACCCAGACGAGACAGCTGACTTGGACACACGGGTCACATGAATGTCTTATTTATCTCTTCAAGTGGCCGACTGAAATAGACGTTCAGATAACCTGATAAATAACATTTGTTAACAATACTAGTTGCTCTTTTTTCTGACGGTTTAATATTAAATGTGTAAAGACTTAATCTGGGCTCTTATTTCAGGCTGTTGACTCAAAAACAGTTTTCAAGGACATACAGTGTGTGCTCCCTGTTGTGTCCTGTTACATATAAGTAGATGATGACAGATAAAAGAAACCCGCCAGATCTGCAGTGTCTGCATTCGTAACCCTTTCAGTCACATGAAATTTAAAATTTTGTGTGTATCTATAATAGGGGTCATTGTTTTCTTTCAAATCATCTTTCAAGCAGGGTCACTTCTCCTTTTGATTAAGGACATTTTATTATCCTTTGTTTTAGGATTGTATATCGTCATGAATTGCCTCTAATGTTTTGCCTTTGTACACCTTGTTGCCATTCTCTTGTATATTACAGTGCGTAATGATTAAATATTCTCATTGTCCTCAACTTAACACATAACCATTCATTCCTTTTTGTTGCAACTTATTGGATATTTTTCTTTCATAGATCTCTGATTAGACTATTTAAAACTGTGAGATGAGTGTGTATATAGGCATAGTAGTTTAATTTAACTTAATTGTCAGAGTTCCCTTTGAAACAATAAACATATGGTGATCATAACAGTGATGTGGTGGCCTGCTACTAACCATGTTCAATGAGGACAAATACATCCAGCATACACAGGAATAATAGGGAATTACATTTTAAATGGAGGCAACAAAGAGTCTGTTTTGACCATGACCCTGAATGTCTCAAACCTTGCAGTCATTTGAAATAACAATTTGTGAATGTTACCACAAGAGGGCAATGTTTGCCCTTCAGAGTGCAGGACAGGTACATTGAATCCATGGTCGCTACAACATGTACAACATGTATACAACTGTATAATGTGAAAGAGAACATTTTAAAGTTATTTAAAGAGAAATGATCACAGGCTATGTGACAATACTGGGTGTTTTCTTAATGTGACAACGTAAAGAAACAAACAAACAAACACACACAAGGTAAACAAAGTGAAATGAGAGGGAATAACATTAGATTAGCTGAAATGATGAGTCGTCCTCTTTCCGTCTTCAGCTCTAGGGCCCGTTTCAGAAAGCAGGTTTAACAAACTCTGAGTTAAAACCTTAATTCTAGGTTGACCAACTCTGAGCTGTCAAACTCTGAGTTTTCGGTTTCAGAACAGGTGATAACACTTAGTTCAATCAACTCTGAGTCAAGGTAACCCTGAGTGAAGCTCGTGCATGAGGATATAAAAAGCCCTCATCAATGGAACACAAATAACATGATTCACCATGGCAACAAGTGACAAAAAGCCTCGATCCTCCTAATTCTCCCCAGTGGAGTTGGAAATATTAATGACCACATATGCAGAAAGTGAGCATATATATTTTTTAAAAAAGCAATTCTGTGGCAGCAGCAAAAAAGCGGGAGCTCGCGTGGCAGAAAATTGTTGACCGAGTCAATGTGAGTATTAATTGGAGAAAAAAAGAAATGTTTTGTCGTGAATGTTCCCCTTATTCAACAATTATATTTCATATGTGTGTTTGTGAATCATCTGAAGAGATGGCCCTCAGTCAGAACAGTGGGCAACCCATTGCTGAGGGCATCTCTGGGGGGAGCTCATTGGACCCAGCCACGCCCCAGGACACAGGGGCCTACGTAAGAGGTAGGTTATTCAAATGAATACATTAATCCTTTTTCTAGTATTCGCTCAGTAATGGCCACCCATTCATCTTAGACACAACTTTGCACACTGTTTTTTCTTGTAGCAGGAGGCTACAGTTCTTTGTTATTGGCTGCTGCTGCTTTCAGATATCAATCTATTTTAAGGTGACTTAGAGTTTGAAAACTTGTGATGGGACCTGCACACTATTGTAAAACAAAAATAAATTAGGTGGGGCACTTTTCTGGGTAATCAACTGTCTAATCTTCATCTTCTACCAGTTACTGATGGTGTAATCTGTCTTGTGGAGCCTTCTGCCATAACAGACCTCCATGCTGTTGTAAGTACTCTTAATATTCCACAGATTTGTCATAATGGGTAGAATATAACACAATCATTCTGTTTCATTACAGGAGGAGGATGAAGACACCTTATCAGCTGCCACAGAGAGGAAAGATGCAGAGAGGCCTGTTGAGGTTTACACTTTTTTTTTCTTTTTTTTAAATAACTTTGGTTTCAGTTAATAGTGTTTCACAATACAACTTGCAACTTCTTTCTCTCTAACATCAACCTCCACAGCACAGCTTACCTCAGTAAGATGTTGTTCAGCATTGACCCACAACTTACAATGACACTAAGTAGACGTGGCACTGTGAAATTCAACGTCATTTATGTTCCTATAGCTCCCTGTGAAGCAACTCTACAAGGTATATTTACAATCACAATTAAACAAATCACATCTAGAAATGAAACATAAGGCTGCAGATCACAAAGACAAAAATGGAAATACAACTGCTGGACCATCAGTTAAAGCTGGGTGACGTGCCCACAGGTGGATGACTTTTAATTGTGTCAACAACAAAGGATAAAGGATTAACAACTGTACAACATTTGTCCTTCTAGGAAATAAAGAAGACCTCATAAAATGAGAGGCATATTGTCATTCTTTGACAATGGGGGGGTGATGGGTCAGTTAGAAATGATTGAAGCATATCATGTCTCTAACAGCTCTTCCATCTCGTGCATCAGCGGGGGGGTCAGGATTATTATCTGGATCATAGGGGGAAGAGTAGGACATTGTTCTCCTCTAATAGTGGCAATGTTGTGGAGAACCACACAGCCTACAAGGGCACTGGAACCGGGTGTTGAGTATCCCGATGGTCATCTCCACTCTGGCTTGTGTCCTGCAGTGAGCCAAGTTGTAGTGTTGCTGTGGGCCAGGCTCAGGCTCAGGCTCAGGGTCAGGGGTCAGCAGATAGCGCTGGCAGGGGTACCCTCTGTCTCCGAGGAGGTAACCATCGAACTCTCCCATGATAATACAAGATACAGTTTAATATTTCAGTTGCAATAGGAGGAAACAAAATATTGATCATAGTATATAGCTGAATACTGTATATAAACTCACCACAAATCTGGCACTCGGTGTAGACTCACGAAACATTCGTGAGTCATGCACAGACCCAGGCCACTTCGCTTCCACATTGTTTATCATGTGGGCTGCATCACATATGATCTTCACAGTGGAGAACATTAATTAGCTGTATAGTGAAGTATATTTCATTTTGAATGTTAAAGGCTACTATTTAGGCCTACCTGTACATTAATGCTGTGGACAGATCTCCTATTCACTTCATTTATTGAAGGAGCTATGATAGGAATGTGAGTGCCATCTATGCAGCCAATCACACGTGGAAACCCTAAAATATATCAAATTGACTGATCAGTGCTTCAAGTCTCAAAGCTTAATGACATAAACTAATTATTGCTTAGACTGATACCTGCAATTCTGTGGAACTCTTCTGTGAGAGAAGTCTGGTGGGTCTGTGACTTGGGAACACTACAAACGTGTATAATAATATATATAATAGTAGTCGTTTCAGTGCAAGTGTCACATTTCGGACAGCCCGACAGACAGTTGCCTTAGACACATGCTGTGCATCACCGATGTTACACAAAAAACCGCTGTTGGCAAAATAAAACGCAATGCAATACAAAGAATTTGCTCGGAACTGAGAGCGTGTCCACGATGTGTCATGTGAACGATGTGAGGGCTGAGAATATTGTTTAGATAAATTATTGATGATGCAGAGAAACGGAAACGGAATAATTAAACTTCCAATCGGGGTCTAATAATCCTCTCCTCGACATCAACTGGCTCTTCAAGAAAAGGACACATCATGTGTGCCACTGCCGTCAGTCTGCAGGAGTCAACTTAAGAGCAGGAGAAACTCAGAGTTAACGTAGTTGAAGAAAACCTGCCAGCGAGCAGGTTGGGTTCACGGAGTATGTTGCCAGGGTAACTGACTCGGAGTTAAGCTGAACTGTCTTTGTGAAACCGAAAAACCAGAGTTTCCCTCATCTCAGGGTTAACGAACTCCGAGTTTTCACTAAACCTGCTTTCTGAAACGGGGCCCGGGCGTCTCGTCTGGATGGCGGGATAAATGCTAATGAGCGGATGTTGCGTAACTATTTTCCCGCGTTTTCATCGCGTGAGTTTGGGTTAGTTCGTTTGCGGGTCGTCACGTGATCCCGGTGAAGGCACACCGCGCTCAGTTTATCGCCACAGAGAGCTAAACGCAAATATAACGCTGTAAACAGGCTATCTGATGTTAGCGTCGACGGCACTGCGTTTAAACACGGACAAACGACCGGAGAGTCTCAATAAACAGGTTGATATACACAAAGGTTGGGACACTGACTGCTGAGGGAGTCTAAAAGTTAACACACCGGCGGCACCGGCGCTCCGCCGCGCACTGCGGTGACACAAAACGAACACGCACGTCTCCACGGTTTCAGGAAGTCAGTCAGGTTTAGTTGTATTGTTACCACGGAACTTCTCCAGGGGGCTTTAAACTCACCAGACCCACCAGATTTTGCTGCCTTCAAAACACAGTTAGTTATTTTGTAATTGTTATATTTGCCTGTTTGGTGACCGGATACCAAGATGCCACCTAAAAAGAGAAACTCTGGGACGACACAGAGCAAAGAGCTGAAGCCCGGTGCTGAAAGTGGCTCTCCAGACAAGAAGGAGAGTCCAGAGTTATCTGTTAAAAAGTAAGAGAAGTCATGTTCCCTCATTCAGCTCTCAGCAGTATGTTGCCACATGATGTGCTCACTCTGTTGACACTGTAGCTTAATGTTTAGCTAGTTTGTGTTGGTATTTTACACTTGCTAGCAAGCTATTGTTGACTTAATGTGTGGCTGACTAGCTAGCTGCTTCAAACGAAGTCAGGCCTGTATTTAGAGCTAATGTCTCTTTTAAACCTTTCTCAAACCAAACAATATCACAATATCCATGTTCAGGAACAGATATAACGTGAAATGTACCGCTGTTATAACACAAATACAGCTCCTGTTTGCCAGACTGTGGCTCACAAACAAGGGAGCCTGTTGTCATCTGTGCAGCATGTTTTGATGTCCTGAAACTGTGTTTTTGTTTGTCCATGATGCTGATTTCTGTCTCTCCGTCCTCTAGTCACAGAGACAAAGATGCTGAGTTTGTGACCCTGTGTAAGAGCCTTCATGTGACAGACCTGGTGTGTGATCGTGCCTGGACGCTGTGGAAAACTGTTCAGGATGGCATGGAAGAAGTCACTGTATGTGTTTATTTACAGTTATGTGACAGTAGATTTGTAATGTGATCCTGTTGGCTTCTCTAATGAAAAGGCATGGGTGGAAATTATATTACTCTGGTTTGAAAACTACCCGATGAGAGAACAAAAGTGTCTCTTTTGGAGGCCGCTCTCTCACTGTTTATACTGTGGCATCCCATAACTATTATAATCTTATGGCCTGGATGCTTTTATAAAAGCTCTCTCAAATTTACCTTAAAAGCAAAAAGCCTTAGTTGTACCCAGTATATCAGTTTATAGTAATCTGGTGATGTGGCACACAGTGTGTATGTGTGATGCTCTTGGTTTGTTGTCAAGTTTCATATCAGTACAAATGCTATGATAATTTTCTCTGCTAAAGCAAATCCAACCAGTCGATCATAAAGCTGATAGTATTAACTTTCCCCACGAGGATGTCGGTGATTAAAAAGAATATTGTACTTTTTCTATTTCAGGACAGTCAGAAAAGGCTGTGGGGGGCTTGCCTGTATGTGTCAGCGACAGACATGGATGTCGCCTGTTTCACATTAACTCAGGTTCTGAAAGCAGTCAGTCTGAAGTAAGTACTCGTCACGACTCGCTGGCACTCATACATATAATATCAGTCACTTAAACAAACTGTTAAAGGATAGCAGAACACCAAATAAACTATTATTTTTTAACCTAAATCTGAACCCTTGGTGTGGTTTGACAACTTTTCCTTAATTTTATTGTTCACCTTTATGCCGTTTATTGGATCTTTCACTCAAATGCATCCTTTTTTTTTTGTAGTGTAAAGCAGTTTTTAGCTCTGGTGAGGAAGCTGGATGTGAACTTGGATACTATAAGCACCAAGGTGAACTCAGCACTGACACGATTGGAGAAGAAGTATGATGTGACGCTGGCTCTGTACCAGAGGTTTGAGAAGTGAGTGAACCAATCACAACAGTACAGGCGCTTGATTCACGTGGAAACGTTACGGGCAAAATTTTAACTGATGATAATGTTTGTGTTGTTTCAGAACATGCAAGAACATCTTTGCTTTGGTTTCCGATGGCAAGTAAGTTGGAGATTAATCTACCACATGAGTGACGTACATGTCCCCCCCCTTTTTTTTTCTGTTTGTTTGATCATTGCATACTTTTTATAAAACATGTGATGCAGGATTATGATTAATGCTTCAGTGTCTCTTTTCAAAGGGAGAGGGAGACCATTCGGAGCTGCTGGACAATGTTTCTTTTGGCCAAAGGTAGGTTAAGCCTAATAACACAGCAACAAAAACAAGTAGGAGCAAGCTGTTAACACACTTTATGGAATAGTTTTCATGTTGCTCCGTCTTCTTCTTCCCATCCTTCCTTCCGGCTTTGTGCTCGGCTTTAGAACTCAAATGAATTGGAAAATGTTTCTCCTCATGGTTCTGTTGTTTCCAGTTCGCAGTGTAGTGTTGTGATGATGCTTCTCATGTGTTGCATCTCTTTCTGTCTGCAGGAAGGGCCCTGCAGATGGAGGATGACCTGGTCATATCATTCCAGTTGCTGCTGTGTACACTAGAATTATGCATCAAGCGCTGCCCTCCAGATCTTCTGCAGCCTCTTTACAGTATGCTTCACTTCATTTACTTTAACATGTCTTTATTTAATAAACAACCAGGTCCACTGTGTAACTTTGGATCTATTGCCAGAAATATAATATAATATTCATAGGTATGTTTTCATTAGTGTTTAATCACCTGGAAATAAGAATCGTTGTGTGCTTAGTATGAGTCGTTTTTATCTACTGAGGGAGCGGGTCCTCGGCTGTGGAGTCCACATTGTTGAATTGCCTTGTTGCTAAATGCCACTAAATCCTAAACACACTGGAAGTGTAAGGTCAAAAATGTATTTTCAAAAAATTGGCCAGGATGTAAAGATTACATTTTTTTGACCTAATGTGATTTCAAGGTATTTGCTTAAAAGTGTATGTTTAAAATAGTAAGTATACTATACTATACAATATCAAAGTATAATATTATGTTTGTCTGTCATGGAAAACAGAGTCTCAACTTAAGATATTTGGTGTCATGATGTATTGTTTTTGGCTCCCAGAGATTTTCTAACCTCTTAAATGTTTTTCTCATAGAATCAGCTATCAGCAAAGTTCAGAGCCCTCCGACACGAACATCTCGTCGCAACCAGAGCAAAGCTAAATCCCGACCTGTGGAGCCAGAGGTGGATTTGCAGCTTCTCAAAACCTTGTGCAAAGAGAATGAATGCAATGCAGAAGAGGTCTGAGCCCCACTCTTTGTATAGATCTTTCAGTCATCATACAAACATTTTGCATTTGGCCTCATTTTCCCTCTAATTGTATTTGCAGGTGAAGAATGTATACCAGACCAGTTTCTCGGCTTTCCTGGACTCACTGGATCTCTCCAGAGCTCCAGATTTTCCTCAGGTAGGGGTGGTGATTGTCTCAACACCTGCTCTACTGTTTGGTTAAACTGCCTGCTCTTCACCCACTGTTTCCATTAGTCATCGCTTCCTTGCCATTGTTGAACGTTTGAGTGTCTGACAGCTGTTGGTTGTTCTCTTTGCTGCTCATACATGTTTGTTTTCACATACATGGTGTCAGGAAAATGTGTACTCAAGCAGGGGATCCTTTTAAGTGTGTCAGGGCAGTATATTGCAGAGGCAGGTATGAAAATAAAGGGAGACAGGATGCTACTGTTTGCTGTCACGAACACACTCCTCTGAATAGTAGATACAGGACATAATTGTTTTACTGTTACATTACCCCAGGTGGACAGGTGGTGTGCATTATTTACATAAGACAAGTGTCTTATGTAAATAATATGTGACACCTCATTGATCTGACCTCTGATTAAGGAAAAAACACCATGTTAGATTGTGTTCCACATCATTGTATCACACAGATGAGATGAGACTTGTTGTAATCTGGTTACAGATAAGTTGGAACCTTGCCTTATTTCATAGAAGTTTATTTTGAGACTGAGATCTAATTGGGCGAAGACAGACTCCCGGTGGCAATCATACAATCTTTAGACAAGTCTTGTACAAGTACCATCAGAACTCTGATGAAAGCTGAGATGTGCTGTTGATTTTCCATCTTCAGGCTGTTTCGAAATATGTGCAGGTTTTAAGTTTTTTACTTATTGTCTGATTCCTTGGGATTGTCTGATGTCCGTGATTGCAGATCTAGTTTTCAGATTAAGATTTTACATCTAAAACAAGCATTTGGGGTTGCTGGTAACTTCACCAGCCCATGTACAAAGCAGCAATAATTTAACACTGAAAAGAACAAGCGATTTTGTTTTTAATATATTAAACTTGGGTAACCTCAACCTTTTAATTTCACCACAGGCGAATGAGCTCAACCAACAATATGAAGAACACTACCTCAAGAGTAGAGACTTTGACGGACGGCTGTTTTTTGACGGAGATGAGACAGTTCTTGTGCCTAAAGTCGAGATGTAATTTCTTCTTTTCTTCACTATTCAGTGTTTTGATGTTGAATTTAAACAAATGAATAAGGAATTTAAAGAAAAGTGTCTGATAATCTCCTCTTGCGTTCAGATCACAGGTGGAGAAAACGCCAAAGAAGAACCTGTCAGATGAAGATACTGTACTTATCCCTCCCCAGACGCCAATCAGGTGAGCAGTCTCTCACTTTTTTTTTTATTCCGTGTTTACCCAGATGAGAAATACTCAAGTTTGCTTTCAGCAGCATCTTTTTTAACATTTGTACAGTTTCAAACTGAAAAAGAAGTGGTGATATTTCCTGCTTTTTTTATCCATGCAAAGTAACCAAAAATTTAACAAAAACTAAATTACAAACTAACTTAGTTAAAGCTCCTACAAGACTTGGACTTTGTGCTGATTCCTCCGGCCCTTGTGAACAAAAGCAGCAATGTTTCTGCCACCTCGTTTCATTGATTTCAAGGGGAATCATAACCAGTTTAAAACCTCCTTGTAGTACATTTGAAAATATTTCTTTCAAATCTGGCATGCATATCTGCAAATTATTTTGAAGACAATTGCCTTTTATTAAGCTTTTTTTACTCGCAGTTGGTGTGAAAATGTAAACATAAACTAGGAAACAGTTTAAATATCATAAATCATGATATTTATAAATAAAATTTCTAAAAATGTATTAGAAGCAAAGTTAGTATTTATTAAATGAGATTTATTGTACTGTATGTATATTATTAGGCATATTTTATTGTGTAAATTGTTCCAAGCGTATGTCTGAGTCCTTGTTGTTGTTGTTGTTTTGTGTCATCAGAGCTGCCATGAACTCCATTCAGCAGTTGAGGGGTGATCTCACCTCCAGTGGGGACCAGCCTTCTACTAACCTGGCTACATATTTCAAAGTGGGTCTCTAGAAGTGTTACCACTAATTAAAATATCAGATGAAACTGTATCTTACTACCTTAATTTGACACATTTGATGTTTTCTTCTTTCATGTGATTAGAATTGCACTGTGGACCCGACGCAGGAGGTGCTGAAGCGTTTGGAGACACTCGGACAGGCGTTTAGCCAAAGGTTTGGTCAGGCAGTCGGCCCACGCTGTGTAGTACTCGGCAGGCAGGTATGAACTTAACACTCAAGAAGACAATGAGCAACAATGACTTCCTATGCTCAAATATTTTATGTCTGACTTGCATTTTTTATTTGTCTTTCAGAGATTTAACCTCGGGGTAAAACTGTATTACAAAGTCATGGAGGCAATGCTGAAATCGGTACTTAAACTTAAATTCTATTTAATTTATTTATTTTTCCAACAGTTTTATTCAATAATTGTTTGTTTGCTTAGTGGCTCAGTTTAACTAAAGTGTGGAAATTCACAGGTCAACCCACACAGATGTGTTTTAGAAAACTCAAAACAACTGCATATTATAGATATCATCAAGCACATTTTACATTTCACTTTCTACGCCCTCATAACTTTAGTTTACATAACACAACTCACTTGAACTGTAGACTAAATAAACTATGTTCATGTTGTTTTTCTTCTTTCATTTTTTAGGAAGAGAAGCGATTGTCTGTTCAAAATTTCAGGTATGTCCTCTATGTTCTTTTAGTAAATCTGTGGCAAATTATGAAGCTTGTCAGTTGTTGCGTTTGTATTCCCTTGTGCGTGCATGCTTTTTGTTGTTTTATTTGTAAATGAAGCATCATTTGCTTTGAGCTGATTCACATGATTTCCATTCCAGTAAACTCCTGAATGACTCCACATTCCACACATCACTTTTGGCCTGTGCTTTGGAGGTGGTCATGGCAACGTATGGAGGTGTGTCCCATAATTAGCTTACAGGTCGATAACAGATGCACTTACATACTAAATCTGAAATAACAGCTGTCAATAATACGGATAAATGTTTACATTTCTTGTGGCTGTGGGTGTAGAGAGCAGTTTTAAGACTGGAGGATACAACAATGGTGGGGGTGGCGAAGCAGCTGAAACAAACGTGTGTTTCCCCTGGATACTGGACGTGGTCAACCTCGCCGCCTTTGACTTCTACAAAGTCATCGAGAGCTTCATCAAGGCCGACCCCACTCTGAGCAAGGATATCGTCAAACACCTGGAAACCTGCGAGAACCTCATCATGGAGAGGATTGCATGGAGGACGGTCAGTTTTTCTCTCTCATCACTTCTACAGTATGCAAGCAATGATGTCACATTATTTTAATGAGAGTCATGCACAGCATAAATACACATAGACACTGTAAATATATCCAATCATTACCCCATGAGATGAAAAGAAGAGTTCTTTTTAATGTTTCATCTATTACTACAGTTCAAGAATGATATAAAAGACAAATAGGGTCAACATATAAATGACTCCATAGCATTTGATCAGTACTTTCGTGAAATGACGCAGGTTACATTCAATATCCACAACACATGAGAAATGTCATTGCATTTAAATATTTCACAAACACATAAACAACAATACAAAATACACTTAACAAAATAACTAAGCTGACAAAGTGCTCCTTAGAGTGAACCCCAGACTGCCAGTGTAGTGCTCTTTAGATTAAGGAATGACCATGTTAAAAGTCTGTCAGTATTGTTGTGAGATGATGTGTGTCACTGGCTGCCACTGACTCTACCACTTGGCGCCTCCTTGTGCACCAGGCTACTGGAGAAATAGTAGATGAGTGGGTTGAGGCAGCAGTTGGCGCTTGCTAGTGATAGCACCACAGGGTGCACAGCCTTGGTCACCTTGGCCAGTCCACAATGGGGCAGCAGCCCCACATGTGTGAGTGTGTATCCCAGGAGGTTGATGTGATAGGGTACGAAGCAGAGCAGGAAGACTCCCATCACCCAGTAAATAACTGTAAGAGTGTGCTGACGGCTGCGGCGCTGGCTGCGGGAGCGGTGTCTTGGCTGGCGAAGCACAGTCAACACTCTGCAGTAGCTGTAGAGGAGTAGCACAGTGGGCAACATAAATGACCCTAGGACCAAGCCCAGAGCTACCAGGATAATGGTGCGATGGCGTAGCAAGGACGGGTCTAACAGACAGGGCTGGTGATGGTGAGCAGCTGCAGAGCGCAGCAGAGGCAGACTGACACTGAGTCCCAGCACCAGGCACCAGATCCCCCCACTTAACAGCTGTGCAAGACGCAGCCGGCGGAGTGTTGATGCCAGAGGATGCACTACAGCAAAGTAACGGTCCACAGAAATGCACACCAGGAAGAAGATGCCCCCATACAGGCTGATGTATTTGAGGGTGAAAGTGAGGTGGCAGTATGCCACCCCAGGACTCCAACTGGATGGGTCTCCTGCCTTGGAGGACAGGACCCTGGCCTTCTGGTGGTAGTAGTAGATTCTTAGGGGCAGGGATATTACAAAAAACATGTCGGCAGCTGACAGGCTGACCATGTAAATGGCTGTGCTGTTCATGGTGCAGGGAGAGAGACACAGTCTGCGCAGAGCCAGGCTGTTGGTGGCCAACCCTAGCAGGAAGATGATACTGTAGGACACTTGATAGAAGGTGAAGCGGTAGCTGGTGTCCACAGTGCAGTTGGACAGAGGTGAGAATGGCTCGACTGTCTCATCAGTCATATTCGACAGCTCCATGTTCCAAAATGATCTTCTGCTCTTAAACTTTAAATCACTCAGTCGCTCTCATATCTGGAGGAAATTAGGTTGGCTGAAGTAAACAAGGGAGGGAGGAAGGAAGGTGTTCAGCTGCTTCTGCTGGGGCAGTTAAACCTGTGGCAAGTAAAAACTTAATAAACTCCAAGATGTCTGTTTTATAGAATGTAAATTTGCTGTGGTGATTGAATACACTGCTACCGCTAACATAGCTGAATTAATATTTGATATGCAAGACAACAGTCACATGAATGCTGTCAATAAAGTTTTAGCTGCAACTTCCCTATCTCATAAAACAAGCAAACATTTGGTTTGGCATAGTGGGGAAAGAAGAATCCCCTCACAATGTCATAGTATTGCCCTACAGTAAATACACACAGTGAACACCTAGTAAACTCATGAAGTTAATCTTTCCGTTCAGGCGTTAATTTAAAATTTTAGGCTCTAGTTTGTTATGCATAAAGCAAATAATCAGTATTGGGGAGAGTCTGATCCACTTTTTGCTAATCTCTCTAATCTTTCATGCTCGGTATAGATCATCATGACGTTGGGACGTTTACGTCATTTTACATCATTTTCTTTTTTGTGTCCAATTTACAAAACACTCAAACTATCATCTTAACACTAATGATATCATAAAAATGTTTGAACGTTTAACAATTAATGCCTTTTGAACTGTAATTTCAACAATACAATTTTTTGAATACCATTTTTTTGATCATCAATATACTTATATATCACTTTCAGTCAACTAGTCATTGTCAAATTTTCAGTAACATTATTTGCTAAAACTTTGTTTTCTATAACATAATAAGGCTTCCCTGATCCCTGAAATAGATCTTCTTTATCTATCCTGACCTACAATATTTGAGTTGCTTCTGTTCTGTTGATGAGTATGTAACTGTTGAATTGATCTTGGTTGATATGATAGCAGTTTTGTGACTTTTAATCTCATCCCATTACATTCATTATTTTGCCTTTTATGTGGTTCTTTAAAAGCAAGTTCTCAAATATCACAAACAAAAAATATTATTCCTTATCTTTTCTTTTATCTTTTCTCTATCTTTGTCTTCAGATAATTTTGGACATTCTTCATTTAAGTTTTTCCCAAAACAGGATAAGAAGATACAGTTAATTACTGTCTTCAATTTATACAAATGTACATATGTTCATCTATTATTTACTGCGCATATAAGCACAATTACAGAGCGAATTTTAAAACGGATAAAACTTGATCACTCACTCGTATCAGGCTCTCATCAGCTGGTGTTCAGCAGCAGGGTGACCTGTGGGATGCTGTAACAGTGCAGATGCTGTTGATTGGAGCAGTTCACGCCTACACTCACACACAGGTCAGGGTCTCTCCCCCGCCCCCTCTTCTCTCCCACACACACTTCTTTCTTCTTTTTTTTTGGTTTTGTTTTTTTAACCACCTACATTTCTAGCTAATTCAGTTATCTGGTTTAATCTAACTGGTCTGTTTATTGAACTGAATTTTGTGACCAGCCGTACAATTAAGCACAGATTGTTTAATTACCTTTCTGGTGGGAGTCATGTTTATGGCTGCTTGTTAAAAACCTACACAAGGGATTGAAGTTATCCATTAACTATATATGTCAGCCAACTGATAGAGGAATAGCAATAAGTCACTGAAGGAAGGAGCTTATTCATACAGCAGTGTGCCTTGAGTCTTTTGACTTTGATGAAAAAAATGTTAGTCCTTAAATTAAATTTGAATAATATTAACATGGAGGCTAATAAGGCACATATTACAACTTAGTTACCTTGTGAGACACATTTTAATAGGATAGAAATATATAATTTAGAAATAAAGGACACATCTTGATCGCCAAAGAACTGGTTAAGATTTATTCTGCAGTGCACATAAAAATAAATCTTACCATTATCATTACAAATGGAAATGTTAGGGTGTGTTTCATACATTAAATTCAATAAACCCTCTTTGCACATTGTATTAACTCATCATTAGATGTATTGTTATATAATATATTCTTAAATATCACAAGGGTTTGTGTTCATCATGTCTGCTTTGAGTCAGAATAACTTTTTCTGCACAAAAATGATGAAACCACTAAAAATATTTCATTTGTGCTGGGTAGAGAAAGTCCAGCTGCATCCTGAATGTAAACATATTTGTAGTGTAAGGAGTCCAGCATTGCAAAATAAGACTTTAGATCATTTATTGTTTTAGTTGTCTCAAGGATAGGCACATTTCTTTCTGGATTAGTCTCAGGATTGCAGCAACCAGCACTGTGCTCTCTTTTGTAAACCTTCTACCTTAAGAGGCATGTTGTTGCTTGTCTGCTTTGGTTTCACAATCCTTCTTCATCAGTGTAGTGGTAATGATGAGTCTACCCCTGTCAGGACATACCCTCGGGCTGAGCCTCTCAACAGGAATGCAGTAGTGCTCGGTCTTGCAGCACATTGCTTTTACAAGAAGGAACAAATATTCAAGCTGCACTGTATTTCATTTACACAGTTAGCTGTGTTTTTTACTTGTTAGGAAACAGGCATCGGATCAGTCTGGCTTAGATTCCTTTAAATTATAATCAAACTTCACTTACTTTAATTTAGTCTGATTTTCCCCCCCCCCCCACACACACATTTTTGTTCAAACGCTGTATGAAACACTATAAGGAAAATTCTAACTGTGTCAAGTTAATGTTTTTCAACGTCCCAGAATTTTCTACAGAGATAATCGCTTATTTAGATAAGGCCGTTGGCATTGTTACTACACTGTTGGCCCGAGCAGTGCAGCTCAAACATTGACCACACCTGCAGTCTAGATTTTAAGACCTGTTGACTCATTGTGCATTCATGGGCCTGGCCACCCACAGTACCTGTAGTTGTACTGTTAATACATGTATGAATAATCAAGTCTAGACAAATGGTTCGGTATCACCCAAACAGAGTGACATATGAACATCCTGTTTATGTCAGATATTTCACAACATCTCACTCAAATCAAACTAGTAGTGAATTTCAAACTCAAAAACCTTTTTAAGTTAAGCTTTTTTTTAATTAAGTATAAAGGGTAAACGGTGTTATAGAGCGTGCTGCGCTATAAAGTGCTTATAAAGCCTTAGCGAGGCCACAGCTACTTAAAAGCTGCACAGTACAGTACATATAAATTGTTGTAATACTGGTTCAACATTGCCAAAACTGAATTTTCCTAAAGGAGAATCTATTTGTAGGGACAAGATTACAATTTCATTGTCTTGTGTGCAAAAGCTGAAAATTATTTTCTGCACCATGCAAATAAATGATGGCTTATACACCTGCCATTGCCACTAATACACATTATAACTCATTTGATGACTCATTGATAGAATGAAACGTACTTGTGCGTTGTGAGTGGTCACCCTGATAAACTGCATTTATGCTGCAGCATGCGTTATTAGTTTCCTCTTGTTCCACTCTTTTATTGACTGAACAGGGATCACTCCCAGTCTAAAGTCTCTGGTGTCCGGTAGTTGAGAGAGTGACTCCTTAGTAACCATTGTGTTCATGTGTTATGATCTCCAAAGCCACTCTGCTTCCACCTGCGTCCTCCGATCCAAATCGAGTTTCACTAGCAATACTGAATTATCAAAAATTTGCATACTGTAATAAAATTGTCGTTAGACTGTAGATTCACTGTCAAACTTTGTGGATCTCAGAGTCCTCAGGGGCAGGCTTTTGGGTGTTATATTTGGACTGCTCTGTGGGCTCTCTGTCTGTAGTCTGTCGAATAACTTGACACCGTTGTGCCATACTGTGGACTTGCGTTTGATGGAGCTCTGAATGGTCTCTGAGGTGAAGTAGTAAATGACCGGATCAAAACAGCAGTTGGTCACCGCTATGCACAGAGCAATGGGGTAGATTGTTCTGACCACATATTCTGCGTAGCATCCCTTTAGGACATTGGAGCGAACCAGGGCGTAGAAAATGAGATTGATATTGTAGGGAATGAAACAGAAGCAGAAGATGAGCAGATGCACGATGATCATCCTCAAGATTTTTGCCTTTTTGAGGTTCCCTCCACGGCTGATGGTTTGGGGTTTCCTCAGTGTCCGTAGCACCATGACAGAGCAGAAGACATTGACCATCAATGGGATGATGAAGCCCACAGTCTCAATGAACACCACCACTTTGGACAGCTCAGCCTTCCACTGTTTTTTAGAGTAGTTTTCAAAGCAGAAGTTTGAAGAGGAGTTGGCATTTGTGGGTGAAGTGGTGTCCAAAAGGAACCCAGTGGGTACACTGCCAGAAAGAACCATCACCCACACTGTCAAGCAGGCCAGCCTGGCATTCCTCTTAGTACGAATAGTTTGGGACCGAAACGGGTGCACAATGGCCAGGAAACGGTCAACACTGATGCAGGTGAGGAAGAGGATGCTGCCGTACATGTTGGTGTAGAACAGGGCCACAGATATCTTGCAGAGCACACTTCCAAATAACCACTCACGTTTAATGAAGTAAACTATCCGGAAAGGCAGGCTGAGGACAAAGAGAGAGTCTGAAACGACAAGGTTTATCATATATGTCGTGGTCTCGTTCCGCAGCTTCAGCGTACAGGCAAAAATGTATACAGCCACCATGTTGAAGAAAAGTCCAACTAGAAACACCAGGCTGAAAACTGAGCTGTACAGAGGGTACTTGAAGTCATCACTCTTGTTGCAATTCACGTGATTGTGATTGACACTCTGGCTGATGTTATAAGTTTGTATGGTACTATACATTTTTAGACCAGGCTAGAAAGTTTTCAACATTTACAGAATAAAAAAAAAAAAAATCCTTTTGTTTACTTGTCAGTCATAAAATCCAAGTTCAACCATGTGCCACAGGTTGGGACATTTCATTTGAGTAGCAAGAAAAGTCCTGAAATAGTGAAGAAGGCTCAGTTTGTGTGGTTCGGCTTTATGGTGTGAAATACCGAGAAGAAAAGTATACAGCAACTCCTCAAAATACCTGTATTAGTATCCAAAGTCAGTTTTCTGTATGTGGAAGCTTTCATGCACGTCCAATAATCCTCATTTTAGTGGAGGTTTTAGTCTTTTCCAGTTCTCTTTCGCAGCTGAAGAGTCATGTGCCTCTTCTCAACTCTGTGAACAGTCGAGTGGTTCCTTCCTTGTGTTGTTATCCTGTCTGTTCCTGCAGCCACCCTCGGGGGGCATGGTGATCGTTAGTCGTATGCTCCAGAAGTTTTACTTTTCCCTTGCTCCTGCCTGACCGTAAATCAGACACCTCGTAGCAGGCTGCACGTCAGAAGCTCAAACACAAATGATTCTCTGGGCTGTTGGAACACGGAGGGAGGAGCATTCACAGGCCAAAGTCCTCCCACTGCTGCTTTGGTTTTGCACATATTTAAAATTTGAATAATGAGGCTCTATCTGACATTGGTGTGGTCCATAATCTTTCTTTTGAATTTCAAACTTAAATTAGACTTAACTGCTATGAAGCAGGTGGGTTTGTAGATCAGCCTCCCAAAGTAATAGTATGTACAGTATGTAATAGATTTATCATATTTTCTTTATATGATATGACATATGAGTGTTTGGGGTGTTTCACTTTCAATAATACATTTAAATAAAGTTAAACAAGAACCTCAAGTTGACAGTGATTACAGAACTCTTAAGCAATGACTTTACTATTCCTAATAAAACGTTGCAGTGTTGGTGTTCATTATACGTCACTGATTGCTGTTAAAGCAGTCATACACAAAGTGTGCTTTCGAAATGTGTCAGTGGTGTCAGGTAGGCGTGGCATGTATGACATCAAGAATGTACTCATGTCAAAACCTGCTGTTGCTGAGAAACTGATCGAGTGGTAAACCACACTCAATGTATGTTCCCTCTGAAACCTCATGGCTAATTTTTGGCTGATGGTGTGTGAATGCAGATGTTCACGTTAACCACATGTTCACGTGTCTTATCGTCCTAACCTGTTGATTAGCGAGGACTGAGAGATAATTGTGTGTGTAGGTATGGATTTTGCTGTCTTTGTATTTAGTATATTTAATTTTTTTTGACAAAATGATTGAAACTGGAGTTAGTGTGCTTGGGTCGACATAAAAAGAGGAACAGATGTATTATCAGTCCATTGCTATAATTTAACGGTTTGTTGGTTTTGCATAGGGACTTTGTCAATGCTGCACTGTTATTAAGATAATATACAGTAGTCATATGGGGACTGTGGTATTAAAACTATTTTTCATGATTGATAAAAACATAAATGAAAATTCCAATTTATATGATAGGATTATCTTGTCTCACTTAAGATTGTATATATAATAAGGAACACTGTAGTGCAAACACAAAAATACAGAAGTTTCCCTCATCACATCCCCCCCTTCTTGTTCCTCCTGTGGTTTCTTCATGCCTGCAGAGGGTACATTATGTGATAGATTCACAGCAGTAACTCCAGTAATTAAGATAACAACATTTTTGTATCAACTTGTGCTCTCAGATCAGATAAAAATGTTAAAGTAAGTTGCTTTGGTGTTTTGATATTTGCAAAGCTTTGATTGGCTGCTGTTAACTGTATGTGGTAATTCAACATGATTAAGATGCACTGTGAAAATGAAACCGTGGTTTTTGCTTTGTAAATCTGTAAATAAAGTTTGTGCGTCATCAGGGCTCGCCACTGTTTGAGCTTCTGAAACTGGAGCATGAGGACGGAGCAGCAGAGCAGGTGGAAACTCCAGCCAGTTTCAGCCAACC